CCACCCCCTTCTACACCGCTCCAAATCCCCCTGTTCCGCCCCTATCATCGCATCATGATCGGCTTATCCGAGGGAGCCCAGGCGGGCGGCGGACTGTGCATGTGAGGGCCCAGGAGTGCTTATCCACCCACAAGGTATCGTGCCACCACATAAACAGGCCTCGAGTGCGCGGCAGCGCGGCGGCAGCAGGGGATAGGGACCCTGGAACGGTCGTTTAGGGGTTGCGTTGCCCAGGGCAAGAGATACATGTATGGCTGCAGCTGCTACCAGAAAAGGTTCTTGTTTCCGTCCTGTTGGGTATGCGGCATGGCTGGCTACACGGGGGAAAGGTTAGCTAAAATAGCTAATGCATTCGCTAATATGGCATTAGACCACAATATAAGCTCTCTTTGTAAATTCTTAGAAGAGAGCTAAAATATTAGCTTTCGCAGCTAGTTGCTTTCTTTTCTAGACAAACTGTAATGGCTAATTTTTTAGCTTTGTTCGAGCCAATATTATAATTTAAAGCCATATTATCCGAATGCATTAGCTAATTTGGCTATAATTCTTTTCCGCTTTATCCAGGTCCAGGCGGCAGGCGGGCGAGCTTGCAGGCGCACCACAGAGAGGGTCTCGCAGGTTTCGCACAGCCTGGAGAGGAAGTAAACACGGCCATCGATTGGCCCGGCGGCCGGGGCGTGCCGAGCCGAGCCGAGCGGGTCGGGGGGCGGACGACTCGACTTGACTTGTACTTGCGCTTTACTCGTTGCGATCCATAAGCGAGAGAAGCGTTCGGACGGGAATGTTTGTTCTTACAGTGCTATAGTGCCGAGAGTGCAAGAAATGAACACCACTTTAAAATTACATTGTCATCGCTCAGTGAGTGCGTGCGCGAGAGAGAGAGCGCGTGTGTGTAACCCAGACCGGAAGTGAGCCTAATCAAACGGAAGCCACGGCAGCGGGCTTATTGGGGCGCCAATGCCAAATCCCTCGTCCCGCCCCAAGCAAAGCCCTCGGCGCAATTCCGAGCAGGCAGGGCAGCGGAGAGAGAGAGACCCCCGCGCAGCCGCCCGGCCAAATGAAACCATTTCCGGCTCATTTCGTTCGATTCGCCATTATTCCGGGCGGGAGGAGAGTCATCTGGGTCTGGGAGGGGGGGGGGGGGGGGGGAGGCACTCGACTGAGACGCTCCAGGAAGAAGGGTAAGAGTTCGGGTGGGGAGGGATAGAGGGGGGTGAGGGGTGAGGGGGTGGACGGAGGATCCGAGAGGTGACGAAGGGAAGGACGAGTGATGTAACGCCCCGGGAACACGACCGCGCGCTGTCCATGTTAAAACAAGTCGCACGACTCCCCTTTCCTTCCCTCCCTCCCAGCCCGCTCCGCCCGCTCTCCACCGCGCTGGCTCGGCGCCACGGCGGCGGCGGCGGAGGCACTGCGACGAGGGTGCGAACAAAGGCAAAAGAAGCCGACAAAGTGCGCGTCTGTCGCGGCCGCAGCAGCAGCACCGCCACAGCATCGTATCGTCATCTCCGCTCCATCATATGTCTGCCATCCGGCGAGAAGAGTCGCGGACCGCAAGTCTCCTTCAGCTTCGGCAATATTGAAAGAGCGCACAGAGAGTCGAACATCTGCAGGAAAGGCGCAGAGCAAGGCACAAACGCTTCGTCTCAGGAAGTGAATGAGAGCACGGTGAAACCGTTGATACCGGTTGATACCGTGTCTCCAGCTCCAGCCATCCTGGAGACCTATGTAAAAGCAATGTACCTGTACCGTGTGCTTCCCGCTTTCACGGAAAGAAACCTGGAGGTATAAGGACAACGACGAGGCACGGCTCATCAAACCGGAAGTGTACGAGGGAGCAAGGGCACCCGGGGGAGGGGGCTGGTGTAATGTTATTGTAGCAAAACAGTGCGGGGGGCACGTCTCCCGCGACGAGGCGCCCGCACCGCAGTATGACGCAAATCCTCGTGCGACCCCCCCCCCCCCCCCAGCAAAAAATGTGTGGTATGAACGATATGGCTCGGCGTACAGCGGGGGCAAGAAGCTCGTCATATTGGGTCGGCAGCCCCCCGCAGCGCCACGCCCCCGCCGCCGCAGCCAGCCGGCGTGGCGCGCGGCAGGCAGAGGGGAGCCCAGGGCAGGGGGGCAGCCCGACATCCCCCTGCCAGGCCAATATAAGTGGAGGAGAAGGGGAGATTGGGGGAGGGGGG